GTGTGTGTGTGTGTGTGTACGTACCTGGAGAATGTCACTGGTGTGCAACGAGGAAAAGCCAAACCTTTCTTCCTCAGACACCAGTACTTATCAGGTGCATGCTTAAGACTAAGATGTGTGGAATACGTACCGAGTGACAGTATAGACATAATTGTATAGACACTCTCAGAGTGCTTTATTGAGGGCCTGTTAACACCTCTTTGAACAAAAACACAAGTAACTTGTACAGAAATGCTTTTTACGAAACGGTCGATAATGCATCTTACCTTTCTAAAGCAAGATTTGTTTCGCTTCAGTATGTTGAATGATGTACACGTACTTTGAATTGGATACCTGCTGTTCAGAAAGTAACGATTACACTCTTTTCTCTTTTGTACCTCCCCCCCCCCCGGCATACACACTTTCCATTAAACTAAATGCACCCCTCCCCTCTTTCTGCTCAAAACACAACCTCGCCTCCATCCCCCCCCCTATCCCGCACCCCCCATCCAATTGCCACCCTCTCCCCAATCCCCAATCCCCAATCCCCAATCCCCACTCCATAATCCCAACTCCCCAAATTCCCCAAATTCCCGCTCCAACTCAGGATGAAAACCGGGCACTGGCAGAGAAGGGAGAGCAGATCGAGGAGCTACGGCGTCAGATAGAGATGATCTCTCGCCTGCAGGAGGTGGTCAAAACACAGGCCAATGCGGACCCTACGGATATGCTACACGCCTCACGGGCAACCAGATACGGCGTGGACCTCGAGGGGTCAGAGTTCAGAGAAGTATCAAAAATGAGCAAGGCTCAACTGCGAATCATGGCAGAGAGAGAAAGGTTCAGCGCCAAAAACCTCTTCAACAATCGCCGAAGAGTCGCCAACTCCGGCCACGAACTAAACTCGAGGCTCCTCCCAACGACGGCGCTACACACGCCGCCAGATCACGTGGTCCGACCACTGTCGCGTGAAGGCCAAGGTGAAGGTCACAAGAGCGGCTGCGGCAGCAGAAGCAACAACAACGTGAACAACAACAGCAGCAACAACACCAGACCGCTGAACCTGAGGCCGAGCAGCATGCCAGGGAGAACTCGCCCTAAGTCCGCAGTCAGCGGGAAGGGTTATCTCCGAGACACACAGGCGTCCCAGAAAGGTCGGCCCATGACCGCCGGCGCCAACAGGTCGGATGACGTCATCAAATACGACGACCTGCTCCCGCCAAGGTCGCAGAGCGCGTTCAGGTCAAGGTCACGACGCGAGCTCGAGCTTCTGAGTCGTCTCCAGCCCAGAGAGGACGAGAACGCCTTGGACGAGGACGGGAAGACGAACTGGCGCGTGGTGCTGGAGTCCAGGAGGCGGAGACGTCTGCAGGAACTGAGGACGGAGGGGGAGAAGCTGCAGGGCAGAGTACACAGCTTCTTATCGGAGATGGACCGCTTCAATAAACGACCGTTTTCTGCCTGGCAGTAATTGATCATAGCTGGAGAGTGTTCGGGGAGGAAGAGGCCACAACATCCTACTTGGATCGGAAGAAGAACTCGCAACATCCTAATGGGGTTAGGGGTCCCTTCCAACAAACGACCCCCCCCCCCTCCTCCTCTCTCTACCTGTCAATGACTTTTGCAAAAGGAGCACGAAGGTTGTGTAGGAGAAGTCTTTCTATCTTTACATTACATCTGCTTATTTTTACTGTCTCAGTGTTCCTTAGAGCCGTGTTGATATTTATTAAAGTTTTTTGCTCATGACAATTCAAGAAATGACTGTTGCGTTTTTATCCATCCCTGTGTTCCTTTACATATTTGGTACAACTACGCCCAAGAGCTGGCATTGCGTATGCCCGACACCAATTTCAAAAGAAATTTGTTTTAAAAGTGGCGTCGCTTTTGAAACTTTTTTTTTTTTACCTTAGTCGGTCAGTGGGATAAAACTCCCTTAAAAAGACAGAGATACTCGATAAATATAGAGTTTCCTACTTTTCGACTTGAGAATCGAGTTGAAGTTGACGTAGTTTGCGTGTACCTCACCATTACACCACGAACATCAGTCCTTCCTGGAAACCTTCATTTTCATTGGTCATTGTATAAGTTAATCGTCCCTTACAGCACTGTGAGTTATTCAAGAGGTGGGACCTCCGTCATTGAAGAGGTTGGATAATTCAAGAGGTGGGACGTCCGTTGTTTAAGAGATGGGACCTCCGTTGTTTAAGGGGTGGGACCTCCGTTGTTTAAGGGGTGGGACGTCCGAATTAATAGTCTATCTCCGATAGGACTGAGCCAATAGATGAGTGGAGGGACTCAAAAACAATCCAAAACAACCCAAGTTCTCAACAGCTTGTTGAGAGATTCGAATCAGGGCCACCGATTGAGATAACGGTACGCCTATGTTAGCCTTTATCTGCCACTGGACGAAGCAAATTTTGGACAAAATCGAGCCCATGGAAACAGCTATACGGATCTAATCTGTGACATCTGGACGACAAGGCGAGTGCCTTAACAGCAACAATATCATCTTACCCCCCCCCCCCCACACACACACACACAAAGCGAGGTGGGGGGGAGGGAGGGACAAAAGCTTTTTACATAAGTTTCTTAAACGGTTACCGTCACAGTAACATTGCTATGTAGAAAAGCTGTAACAACTCTTTGGTTCGACCCACACACAGGCGCACACACACAGCGTGAACGGCGCTATACTATAATAAAGTATGGCGTAGGACAAAGTCTCTTTTCAACACCCTAAGGCCCCGCCCTACACCGTCTCGTACACGCACGCACTAAAAACATTTCCACTCGTCGCAGGGTTGCAAGCAAAGTATGACGTCATTTAGTGATAAAGAAATGTTGTTTGTTTGTTTTTGTAAGTGTTTTACGGCGCTCGCAACTGCATAAGGTCATATGAGCGCGCGGGACACACTAAACGTTTTCAGTTGGTAGAAAATTTTGAATTTTGCCCGGGTGGCGGCCGAAGCCTACTCTTATCGATTTTAGACCACCAAGGGATCTTTAACGTGCACAACTTGCACACGGGACCTCCGAGATTTTTCGCCCTTGTCCGAGAAGGCTAGGTGTAGATCTTTCCTACCAGAAGATCAGGGGTGTGGCTGAAAGACAGCAGTAAGAAGAAGCCAATGAGTAGCAGTAGAAAGGCTGCAGAAAGAATCAGGAGCCCAGAGGAGGGGGCAAAGGAGGTGAAGGGGTGGGGGGCAGAAAGAGGAGACGAAAGCAGACGACAGAACATTGCTAGAGAGTAGGAAAGGAGGTGAAAGGAGACAAATTTAGAGAAGAAACATTTTTGGTCGCTACCCGGATTCGAACCCGGAACCTTTGAATGACAGGCGAACACCTTAACCTCTAGGCCACGAGAGCCCCCTGGTAGAGACAGACGTACGGGCAAAGATTGCCTCCTTTGTGTACTCACGGCCATACACCGAGTGGAAATTATGTTCCTTGAGTGGTTGAGGTCAAATGCCGTCAAAGCGAGGTGACGTGCAATGCACGTGTCAGACAGAACTGAACTATGTATGGTCGCTTTTAAGGACAAGCGGTCTAACCCACATTTTGGGGGTTTCTAGAAATCTTGACCTACACATAAAGTGGGCATTGCCCTACCTATAGGAGAAATTTGCTTTCGTTGGTGTTAATATTTGTTTGGTTATAGACAAAACTCTCCTTTTAAAGAAACTGAAGAAGGGGCAAAACCTGTACCTTCGATTTTCTCAAAGCAGCATTTTTCGGGATAACCCCCTTGTGAATAAAAGCGAAAATATTTCAGCAGCCACCGACCCACGTTCAGAAAGGTCTTTCTCGCTAGGTCACAATGCTGTCATTATAAAAAATACAGTATGTTATACAGATTGTGCAATTTTACAGGAGAGCGAAAAAAAATTGAATGTCGTTACCAAAAAACAAAAAAGAAAAACTCTTTGCAAACATCGCAATCCATTATTTTTAAGGATATAATTTTGATAATAACTTCCCCATTATAATAATATTTAAAACAAATGCTGTTTTCTTAGTAACAACATTCAGGTTTGGTTTTCGTGAAAGGGGGGGGGGATGTTGTTGTTTTTGTTGTTGTTGTTTTTTTTTTGTTTTTTTTTTGGGGGGGGGGGTGGGTTAGGCTATCCTGTAAATTGTAAAGCTGCATACCATGTGTACTGTATTCCTAGAAATGACGGCAGCACTGGCACTGTAGCGTAACGCAACACCGATTGAGCTATCCGATTTCCAGTGTGACAGTAGGGAAAAAGTTGAAGCTCACTCCCACGCAAACACTCACACAAGTGTCAACGGAGATTTGTTTTGAAAAGACAACAGATAACAGATGATCTCGCCAATAAAACAGGCGTGTGAGGGATATGGGAGAGTATGGTGCATAGGGTACTTTTATGAGCATAGAGTCGACAAACAAGAAGGTAACAATTTAATAGTCAAAGTGTATTTGTGGCAAACGCACGTAATAAATAGAGTCTAATGGTATAACTGGATATGTTTGTTTTGTCACAAAAAATGGTATTCTTACATCAATATTTCAAACCAAATAAAACCAACAACTCCCCAATCTCCCCC